AATTATTTTTGTTGCTATCGACAAAATACTGATTATTTCTTAACCAAAAACACAAAATAAAAAATATTGTTAAAAACTGATATTTTCAAACGGCGTTTTCTCCATAACTTGGCCAAAAAAGGTGGCACAGCTAAAATGAATACTGTTTTGTACTGCCAATAAACATAGTTAACTATCTCTATCCCTACTTTTACGGTTTTTGAAAAAAAAAAAATTTTCGAATTTTTGCATTTTCGATAAGGGTTAACATCATCAAAATTTGCGAAAAATGACAAAAAAAAATCCAATTTTTTGTTTAAATGCAGTTCGATAGGGAATTTTGTTACGAATTCAACGAGATATGGCATTCTAGTTTTGGACAATTATTTTTGTTGCTATCGACAAAATACTGATTATTTCTTAACCAAAAACACAAAATAAAAAATATTGTTAAAAACTGATATTTTCAAACGGCGTTTTCTCCATAACTTGGCCAAAAAAGGTGGCACAGCTAAAATGAATACTGTTTTGTACTGCCAATAAACATAGTTAACTATCTCTATCCCTAATTTTACGGTTTTTGAAAAAAAAAAATTTTCGAATTTTTGCATTTTCGATAAGGGTTAACACCATCAAAATTTGCGAAAAATGACAAAAAAAATCCAATTTTTTGTTTAAATGCAGTTCGATAGGGAATTTTGTTACGAATTCAACGAGATATGGCATTCTAGTTTTGGACAATTATTTTTGTTGCTATCGACAAAATACTGATTATTTCTTAACCAAAAACACAAAATAAAAAATATTGTTAAAAACTGATATTTTCAAACGGCGTTTTCTCCATAACTTGGCCAAAAAAGGTGGCACAGCTAAAATGAATACTGTTTTGTACTGCTAATAAACATAGTTAACTATCTCTATCCCTACTTTTACGGTTTTTGAAAAAAAAAAAATTTTCGAATTTTTGCATTTTCGATAAGGGTTAACACCATCAAAATTTGCGAAAAATGACAAAAAAAAATCCAATTTTTTGTTTAAATGCAGTTCGATAGGGAATTTTGTTACGAATTCAACGAGATATGGCATTCTAGTTTTGGACAATTATTTTTGTTGCTATCGACAAAATACTGATTATTTCTTAACCAAAAACACAAAATAAAAAATATTGTTAAAAACTGATATTTTCAAACGGCGTTTTCTCCATAACTTGGCCAAAAAAGGTGGCACAGCTAAAATGAATACTGTTTTGTACTGCCAATAAACATAGTTAACTATCTCTATCCCTAATTTTACGGTTTTTGAAAAAAAAAAATTTTCGAATTTTTGCATTTTCGATAAGGGTTCACCATCAAAATTTGCGAAAAATGACAAAAAAAAATCGAATTTTTTGTTTAAATGCAGTTCGATAGGGAATTTTGTTACGAATTCAACGAGATATGGCATTCTAGTTTTGGACAATTATTTTTGTTGCTATCGACAAAATACTGATTATTTCTTAACCAAAAACACAAAATAAAAAATATTGTTAAAAACTGATATTTTCAAACGGCGTTTTCTCCATAACTTGGCCAAAAAAGGTGGCACAGCTAAAATGAATACTGTTTTGTACTGCCAATAAACATAGTTAACTATCTCTATCCCTACTTTTACGGTTTTTGAAAAAAAAAAAATTTTCGAATTTTTGCATTTTCGATAAGGGTTAACACCATCAAAATTTGTGAAAAATGACAAAAAAAATCCAATTTTTTGTTTAAATGCAGTTCGATAGGGAATTTTGTTACGAATTCAACGAGATATGGCATTCTAGTTTTGGACAATTATTTTTGTTGCTATCGACAAAATACTGATTATTTCTTAACCAAAAACACAAAATAAAAAATATTGTTAAAAACTGATATTTTCAAACGGCGTTTTCTCCATAACTTGGCCAAAAAAGGTGGCACAGCTAAAATGAATACTGTTTTGTACTGCCAATAAACATAGTTAACTATCTCTATCCCTACTTTTACGGTTTTTGAAAAAAAAAAAATTTTCGAATTTTTGCATTTTCGATAAGGGTTAACACCATTAAAATTTGCGAAAAATGACAAAAAAAATCCAATTTTTTGTTTAAATGCAGTTCGATAGGGAATTTTGTTACGAATTCAACGAGATATGGCATTCTAGTTTTGGACAATTATTTTTGTTGCTATCGACAAAATACTGACTATTTAAAACCAAAAAATTTATCAATTCTGGAATCTGAATTCCTAATCTAGCTGTAAAGTTCCGAAGATCTCGACGGTCATACGGACGGACAGAATAACTTGGCAAGTGATTCTGAGACATCTCATTTTTGTTGCATTCTTTTCAACGAATATAGTATACCTATTTAATAACAACATGGAAAGATGTAGTAGAGACCGTATTGACCAAAAACTGCAGTGCAGTTCGGAATTGGCGCAACATTTTGGTCGACGCGCCTCAATCATTCTGTTTGCAGCGCAGGAGGGGAACAGTGCGTGGTCGAAAAAAGAGCTGGCTGGAGTCATAGGAAGCCGTGGACCGCACACGGAGTGCGGGCGATGCAACATGTTTCGAGTGGCTTTTGCGGCATTGCGGCGAAGGCACAGACAGAAGAGTAACACGCCAGTGGCAAAAAACCCTATGGATTTGCTGTGCAGCAGCGATAGTTATACTTAAATATATTTTGGAGACCTAAACTGCGACTTCTGTTATCCGTACTCGAGCTGAGACTTTAAAAATTGGAGGCCAATTTCAAGAACCGTGCTCCTGCTTTTCGCAGTGACGGCGGCACGAGAGCCAACCGACCATTCACGGCCCATGCGAATTACCATGCAATTGTTTGCCTTTGGCAGCCCCATTCCGTTTCACTTGCCACCAACTGACCACCGCCCACCATCCACCATCCACCCACACAGGCCAAAAGCCAAACCGAAGCCAAGCAAATGTGGCAAGGAGGCGAACCGAGATGGAACGGAATGGAACGCCGACCGGAAGTGGGAAGAAGAGGAGCGAAGGGCCGCACAGCACTCGCAGACTGCCTGGCGTCGTCATCGTCATCGTCGTCGTCATTTTCAAGTGGCGCGGCCGTTATCGATTAAAAAAGTTCGGTGGCGTGGCGTGCGGCAAGAGGTCAGGTGAACTGTACGCATACACAGGGAAAAACGTAGTCGAAATGTTTTGGAAATATGCGTTGCCTTTCCCCCAGTTTCAGTGGGATTTAATGTGGCAAAGAGAGCTCCGTCTTGTGAAATAATACACCACAGCGACTTTGTGGCGCCCAACCGAGTACTTGTTTCGTTCTGTGTGGCAGGACGCGAGGGTTTAAAGGAAGCGATGGTGCAGCCCTGGCACTGCACTTTTTCTGATTAACTGTTGCATAATTTTCGGGCCTGCGGTTTCCCTTTGTGAGCGCCGGCCTGCTAATTGAATTTGCATGACAAATCAGGGCACTCACTCGAATGAATAACGAATTGTGAGTGCGCATATGAACGGTTGCGGAGTGTTGAGTGTGGGATGTGGGCCTGAAAGTTACTTAAAAATGTGTGCGGCTCCAAAGAAGGAGAAAAGGGGGAAAAGGGAGGCCTTCACACAATAGACTTGCATATTTAAGCACGACACTTATATGTTCCAGCCCCATTCTCCTCCTTCGCCAGCTTTTCGGCAGCATTTCGGCGGCGAGTCGAACAATGAGGCTTTTGTATGCCACAACGCGTTTGCTTTTTTATTCCTGCTGCCCCCACAGAGGAAGACACGCATATGCCACATACGTGGTCCATTGTTTGTATTGAACCCAAGGAGCAAAGGGATGCGGAGAAGGGCGCAGAACAGCCGAGCAGAGAAAGGCAAGCGAGCTCTCGACTGGTGGGGCGTTTTCATTTGCGCTTTAAATCTAAGAATAATAGCCGCCTTGATTACATTCACGCCGCTTTATGACAAGCGAAAAAAACGAGGCGGCGGGAAGGGGAGAGCACATGGCGGGAGACAAAAACAACGAAGGTAGGGAAAAGCACAGTGAAGCAAGTGCTTAAAGGGCTGAAATCCAAGTCCACTTTCAATAACCGGAGTGCACAGCGATTTCTAAGAATGCGTTAGGCCGAACTCTAATCAAAAGCCAAACAATTCCTGACATTACATGCGATAAGTAGGCCAAGTCGGGGAAGTTCCTGCCACACATCTAGCAGTGTCAAAGTGCAGGATGCAGGATGCAGGATGCAGGATTGCAAAGGAATGTCGAGGAGGCACGATTGTGTACACCCATCGATGGCTGCTTTGCCCCACTGTGCGCCTTCAGAGGGGCTCAAATGAAAAGAAATGAAATTAAGTGGCATGTTGTTGCTTGTTCGCCGCGGCGTGGGAGGATGTGGGATGTGGGAATGTGGCCACGCATGACCAACTTGCAACCACCCCCACCCAAGACACCCAAAACAGCACCACCACACGCAAACAGACGTCGTCTGCCTGCCACTTGAGCCCTACACTGTAAGCCTGTTAAACATTTCGAGTGTTAATTGTGTGCGAACAACAATAACAGAGGGCACGGGCATGGGCAGTGGTGTGGGTTTGGGTTTGGGATTGCGATTGAAGGCTGAATGGTGGAGGCTGATGGAGGCGGCTGATGGAGGCGGCTGGTGGCTGGAGAGGAGTGACAGGCCGTCGTGATTGGAGCATGGCATGCTCAAGGTTGCTTCTGCGATATTAACTTGTGTTTTTCATGCCTAACAGGATCTGTGGTTCAAGAGGCAGCTCAGGATTATGTTATATCGTTGAAGGACCCTTGCCACAGAGTGCTAATATTCCGCACTAGGATTTTGAGCGACTAAGGTAGCACTTCTATCAACGTGAATCGAGTCACATCTCCCTGTCACAACTACCCCCGCTTTATATGCGTAGCATTAGCCAGTTTTTTGAATGCCCCCCACAGTGAACCTTGCGTAACCGCATCGAATGGAAATCGCTACGGCTTTCATCCCCGCAACCGATCGCATCCGCTCAGCTTCTCGGCCAGTACACGTTCGATGGCAGCCGCAGTGGAGTCGGTGCAGCTTATTCTCCTTGTCATCGCCGTCAGATGGGCTGACGCACTTCACCAGGGGACCCCGGTGCAGCAGCAGAGTTACGGCTATGTGGTGCAGATCTACGGTCCAAAGTTCCTGGCCGCCGGATCGCTGTTCAGTGCCCGTTACGTCCTAACGGTGGCTCACTGTTTCAAGAAGAATACCAAGCCGGAGCAGCTGACAGTGCGCGCTGGATACAAATGGATAGCCTGGGAGCACCGGGACAGACCAGTGGCGGGACTCGTGCGCCACCCAAAGTTCTCGCCCCAGACCCTGCGAAACGACATTGCCGTGCTGAAGGTCAAGACGGCCATTTTGCATTCCCGCAAGATCAAATACATCGGCCTCTGTTCGAAACCCTTGGTTCGCAACACGGCCGCACAGCCGCAGGAGGTTGCAGGCTGGAGCTTGATGCAGATCAACCAGCCCCTCAAATCCATCAGCGTCCAGGTGGAGGCCACTAAAAACTGTGAGAAATGGTTTCCCCAGTTGTCAGGCGGCGTGACCTGTGTCGCCACCACGAAGGGCGAAGGCCTGTGCTATGGGGACTCCGGGGATCCCCTGATCACCGGAGGCGAGGTCTGCGGCCTGGCAATAGCCTTCCGAAGGTGCGGAGATAAGCGGTATCCCGCCCTCTTTACGGATGTGCACTACCATCGCGCCTTCATTTCCCGAGCTGTGCTAACCTTGGACAAGGGAAAGCCTAAAAAGCCGCGGGGCTGAGTCGGGTGAACTAATATACTTCTACTTACAGTAACGCCAAAAAGATCATGTAAACCATGCCCAATTGCAGCTGAACAAAGTGTATTTGTGGTTAAGGGACTCACCTGCAAGAGAACAGAAGAAAAATTCAAAAATTAAATTATAAGCGAGTAAAAGAAAAGGAACAGGAGCACAATACATTTTTATTTTGGTGCAGCTAAGGAGAGCTCCTCTGAAGGGCTTCTGTAAAACATATACTCGTACAATTCGCATCTGAATATTATTGTGCCATTAAAGGCAGCCGACATTACCCTTTTGTTTGTGCAAAAACTAGATTGAAGTCTTCATAAAGCTTGCAGAGTACAGCAGCTCACACCCTTTGATAGATTCCATCAAACCAAACCGAATCGACTGTCGACTACCTGGCCCAAACCACTGTTTCCGCCGATTGTCCCCAGTTTTTTGCCTTGCGACCTCCATTTTCCATTCCCCAAAGGCAAATCAATTTGCGCTTTACATAAAAAAAGCAACAAAAGCTCCCAAGTCTGAGTTGCTTTGCTTGAGGAATTGGAAGTCGAGTTGGCTGCTTTTGGTCGCTCAAAAATCACGGCACATAACCCATTAACCCGCCGCTCCAGCAATGCATGTGGAGCGAACGGGGACGATTTCCATACAATACTCCTGCCGTTTTTTCCTCGCTTTTCTGTAAGCCTGCCCTGCTCAGGAACATTTAATGAATTCATATGTTTAATAAAATCTACACGTGAACATGAATATACAACGTGGCGGCGGGGAGGCAGTGCTGTCGCACAAAAGGACAACCTGAGTCCCGAGTCCTGCGAATCCAGGCAGTCCCGAGCACAAAAGTGTGCAACGTGGGCGTGGTGGGACGTCAAATGGTGGGAGCCATCGCAGCGGATGGAATAGCAGTTTCTTTTTGAATAGTTTGACGATGACAATGACGATGACGACATGTTGACGTCATGTCGCCTGGCTTCTCTAAGGATCTCTCTGGAGAGGATATCCAGGGAGCGGAGGAGTCTGGTCTGAGCTTCTTGGCCAAATTAAAATCATATTAAATTTGCATATTTCGCAAGTGTCGGAACAAAGTGTGCGAGTCATTGCTATCGGTTATCGGGTTAGCGACAGGTGTTGCATAACAGACTATGTCTGGCGGGGCTTTTGGAAACACCCATTTAAAATTCACAATCTCAGGGGGAGTCAGGCGGCACGGCACTTTAAAGGCAAGAGTGCCACGAATTAACATACCAATGGGCCCAGTGTGTAAGTATTTTTTGAGGAATTACAGCGAAGAGTCGAGCTGAGAAATATATAAGCGCCCCGGCAAATATCCTTCGATTGTTTATGTCTATCATCGATGGATTATTCATGGCCACTCAGCACGTACCAACCAGGCTACAAGAGTAACTGGGACGACCAAGCCACCATTGTGCCCTACTTACGCCCACTAAACAAACAGACCTCACATACACAGGCACAAAAGTTTTCGACAAATTCTCGGCCACAAAACTGTCGAAAAGAGCACTTCCAGTGACCCAATCTCTAAAAATAAACAGAAAGAGTCATCCTGACGACCGACGGAGGTGAGGCAATTTGCGAAAACTGGCGTAGGAGGTCCAAAAGTCGGTCAACTTATTGTCGGAGAAACGGAAAATGCCCGAGCCCGAGAGAAGTCATCCAATTGGCAATTGTGATAAATTGTACTTTTTAGCAATTTAAGCCCGGAAAAAACACAAGCTGACAGAGAATTCAGGATCGCGTCAGCCCCTCGTCATAATCAAGGGAAGGGCCCGAAAAGGTTTGACTTCTCTGGCCAAGAATTCCATTCTGAATTTTCCCATTTCCCTAGCTGTCCGAAATGTAAAACTTTTTCACTAATAATGCCTCAATTGTGCCACATTCCCGGCTGCGGGGATAAAAAGGATTGTCCACTCTTTCTCATACCATACCATCCCATCTATACCATAAAAAGCCACACACCCACACATATGAAACACATTACCCTAGTTACTTTTTTTGACTGGCTTTTCCCTATCCCGCTCGTATTTTGCCTTCTTTTCGTATCTTGTGTATTAATCCTAATTGAAGGGAAATCCCCTGATGGACACGCACTTTTCCTGGGGTGAGAGCGGCAACCCTTTTTTTCTCTGTTGTTGTTTGTAGATAGTCTTCTCTGTTCTTGGGTATTTTACGCCACTTTTCTATGTAGCTGGATCTAAAAAGTGAACTAAGGATTTAAGGATATCTCGAGAGGGAGAGAACAAGTGTGTGGGGGGCCAGCATGAATAGATAAATTCTAGTCCCCTTACATGTGCCTTCAATCAAAACACCGTGGCATACATTCTGGTTTTGGCCCCTATCTTATAATTACACTGCCACCGAGCATGTCCTGCAAGAAATGGCAAAAAATGCTCAAATAGACATTTAATGATTCCCCATTGTCATTACATAAAGGTGACTTATAAAAACATTATTTCACACGCACACAAGGGAGGGGCAAATGGGAGAAAAGGGGGCAAATTGGGGGAAATTCTCGAAGGAAAGCCATGCGGGCCGAGCTTATTTGTTGCCACGCAGGCATTTCACGTTGGCTAACGAGCACTTTGGGCATACAGCGCTCTTATTCCGACTCTTATTCAGTTTTTCCAATAAAGAAAGCCATATTAAAACCCACACATAGGCAACTTTCGGTATGCGGGCATGTTTCATTATTTTCAAACATTTAGCTAGGCAGAATAATGTCAGCGTTGGTCACACTGGCTCTAGCTGGTCACACTTTTGACTGGGTGTTTCCCAACCACTGCAAGGGGCAATTTAAGTTATGAAGATTTTGTACGACACGACACTCCACTTGAAAGCCAAATCGATCGCTCGAGTGCTAGAAAATTGGTTTGGCTCGCAGCTGAAAGGACATCGTCCTATTTTTCAGCCACGACTGTACCCTCGAGAGACCTTTGGCAATCTTTTGCCTGGTTCCACTTGAAAGTTTTGAACCGAAGAAGTTTGGTCGGACGAACACAAGAGCACTTTTTGTTTCCCGTTCTGATTGGGATCCATTCGATTAAAGTTCCGCACTTGCCTATTGAAGGATTTCGCTTGCATTTACTTGCATTAGTAATCGGCTTTATTTTATCATTTTAAGCACAAAAATCCCACTCTTCAGTTGACTCCTTGTTCGAATTGCCGCCCCTATGCTCCCAGTTTAAGGACCCTTTCCGAGTCCATTGCTGTACTATATTTTCGAAGGATTTGAAGGGCCGCTAGTTAGGTAAACAATGAAATGTCCGCATATTTGGCACCATTACTCAAATTGCCATTATGCACGCGCATCGCCTTCGCCTCGAATTGAGGCAACCAGTAATCGGGGGCTGGCTCCACGATTTGCCACCATTATGGCGGCCACAAATGCGATGCAGTGGAGTTTTCCCCCACATTCATTCAAACGGCAATGCGACAATAGCAGGTGAGACAGGGACAGCGAGTGTGTGTGAGAGCGAGAGAGGGACAGAGAGGGAGCGGGGGAACGAGTGAGGGAGAGGGAGCGCACAGAGGCAACCGCAACCGCATCGAGCACTGCATTTTTCCGCTTTTCCCCTTTGGCACGTGTGTCGAGTTCATTATCGCCTCTACAAAACACACACTCGCACACACACACACACACACATGGTGGAACCGTGTGGAACTATGTATGTATATGGAGCATTTGCATTGGCATTTTCTATTGCCATTTTCTTTCTCGGTTTTGGGGGCACATTACAATTTAAATTGTTCGCATGCGGCCGGCCAAACTTGTCGCATATTATTTATTTTATTTATGGGGGAAGCCCCATAAAGCAAAAAGCTTTGCATACATTTTGGGGCAGGGGCAGGAGCGCAGGATACAGGATCCGAAAAGGAAGACCGCACGCTGTGTTTGCGGACTAGGCTCAAGATTTATGGCTTTGCGACAGGCGGAGCAGACAGACCAACAAACGAACAAACGAACCGGACGGACAGTGGACTGTGGACAGTCGGACGGACAGCCGAAGCAGACAAGGGCAAACAAAAAGCCAGAGCAAAGAAAACGAAGACAGACAGTCGGAAAAAACGGAGTAAGGAAGTTAGAAAAGGGGGCGGGAAACCCTTGAAGAACTGGCCGAAACAATGAAACTTCAAGAAAACCACAAAGTTAAGCGATGGGGAAGTCGGGGCCTAAACACTCTCTCCACCCAAAAAAAAGCGGAGCGTTGATTTTCCGGCTGTGGGAGGAGTTCATGGAGTTCCGAGCCTATTTACCTAATGTCTAAGCCTGTGCATTCGCAAAGAAACCAAAACAACCCACAACCATGGAGAGCCAACTGGAAGTGGGCACAGAAGTAGTGTATCTTAAGACCTTTACATTAATCCTTCCATACCAACAGTCTTTAGGATTTAACGCAATAGGATAAATAGCGATATCTCAATGGAGCATGCAGATTCCAACTCCTCAGCTCACCTTTCTCAACATGTCGTCCAGCGAATCCACGTCCAGGCCGGCGTAGTTGTTGTTGAACTGACTGGAGCAGTTGGAGGAGTTGCTGGTGTACCGCTTCCGTCTGCCCAGGGCGGGCGAGTTGACCAGCGAACTGGGTCCGCTGGAGCCGGCATAGCCCAGCTGGGCGGCGGCCATGAGCGGGTAGAGCGATGGGTGGGGCAACTGGTGGGGCAGCGGGTGGCCAGTGGCCAAGTGTCCCACGTGGCCCAGATGATGATGTGAACTGCCGGCGGAACAGCAAACTGCCAGGCAGGCGGCTGCGGGACCCGCTCCATTGGCCACCGACGAACCCATTTGGGCACTGCGCACCGCAGCCAAGGGCGAGGGTGGTGCGGTGTGGTGGTGCAGCTGCAGATGGTGCAGCGGCGATCCATGATGCTGCAGGTGGTGCTGCAAGTAGGCCGGCGATAAGGATCCGCTGCCCGACGAGCATGAACCGGCTGCCGGACTGGGGGAGTTCTCCACGAGGGTGCTGTTCGTCGAGCTGGAGGATTCGATGATCGTTGTGGTGGTGGTGGTGCTAACGGTGACCTCCATGCTGGTGGTGACGGCACCAGACAAATTCAGTGAAGATGCTCCAACTCCCGATCCTGATCCTGATCCCGATCCCGAGATGGGACGATCTGCCTCTCTTTGCTTGGGCAAAAGTG